GACCGTTTTCACCTAAAATAATTTTTGAGTATAACAATTTTGTATCATTGAATTATAACTTAATTCATCTATTACGGTGACCTACAGTACAACAGAGCAGTACCCACTTTCCCATCTTTTTTTTGAAAATTAATGGTTCTATATGACTATATGTATATAGGTAATCCAGGCAAAGAATTTTTGACAGACATATATATTTTTAGGTATTCTTGGCATAGATAGTTAAACTAATATGACTTTTAAATACAAGCTGTTGCAAGTTATTTATATTCGAAAATTATAATTCTTTATACTATTTGATGGATGTCTTTTTAGAATAAGGATTTATACTACTAAAGTATATGGTTTAAAAAAAAAAAAAATGTTTAGTGAACCAGCGAAGAGTATTTTCGTTCAAGCTTGATGTACAACTAAAATCAAGTTTAATGTAAAGCAAACAGTTTATTTTGTTGCCAGATTTTTAAAAATGATTTTTTCAATGATTATCGAAATAATCATCATATTGATTAATATTTTTATTTTTATAAGTTCTTTTTAGCATATATACAACAGCTAAAGTGTTGTTATGGACGGCTTCATTAATCATGTCTTTCTCGCCTGTTTTATTTATTTTTTGCTTTATATTTTGTGTTACTTTGCTCGCATATGCTTATTGTGACTAAATTGTACCGATTACATATTTACATAATAAAAAACAAAAATTAACAAGTTCTTTTAGCTATTATTGAATGACTCAAATATTTTTTTTCATTTTAATTATGTTGAAATCTGTTGAATTATGATAAACGATTTTATTATAAGATAAATATTTTATAACTTATATTTAATAGATTCGTTTGAACAAAATGTATGACCTAATAAACACATTCAAGTAAAATAAAAAAAAACAAACGATATAAGTACCCAGCTCAAATAATTTTACGGCTAATCAAGTTAAAATAAAATAAAAATGTATGTCATTAAGTCAAAATTTTTTTTGTATGTAAGGTTGTGTTTATTAGTATGTTATGTGGATAACTTACCATCATATAGGTACCTATACGTTTTTACAATAATAACAGTTAAGTTAGATAAAACTAAGTTTAGTGTATTTTTTTTCTGATTTTCTATGACTTCTCCTCTTTAATGAATTTGGTTGACGATAAGCTATTTGGCCGTTGTGTAAAAAAAAACATAGTCGTTTGCTCTCCAAGGCTTGCTGGCACGGTGTTCGCAATGTTTAGAGCAAATCCTTATAGGGGTTCTCTAGACAAGTCCTTTTATTTTTTTTTACTGGCACCCACTTTATACCCATGTATATTTTTTAGGAGACCTTTTTGTTGTGTCTGCCAAAAAGCGAATAAGGCTGGTTAGAGTGACAGTAATTGTTTAGTTTCGTTATACCAGTGTGCGTGATAATGACGGTGTGTTAACAATGTTGAAAAAAGGGTTTAGAAAAAACAATTAAWTTAGTTTTGTTTGAAATTATTAAAACAATCTCTTAGGCTTATTTTAATATGAGTAATGAATACTGATTACCGATATATATATTTTTTAAAAGATTTCTGATTATGAGCTTTCAACTATAAATTACATTCCTGTTTTTTGTTTTAATGAATGAATTATCAAAATAGGAATGTATTATTTATACTATTATATATTAAAAATTATGACTATAATTAATATGAATATTGATGTCAATTAAATCGTAAAATACCTACTAAATATTAGTGAAATTATTGATTGCTGGCTATTTGCGRTTTCTCTACCAATTTAGGATTTCAATACTTTATGGAACAATAGCATTGTATTATATACATAATAAATATTATACACAAGATTATTATATAATCCATTGCAAATTTTTAATAAATTCGTTTTAAACGTTATTAATAATTACAATAGCGTATACCTTTGTCCTTTATATATTTAATATTTAATGTTTAACCTGTGTTATMTATACATAATTTTTTATATTATTAATGCACGACAATCGTACTTGATATTATCAAGATTATACATAATACGCGATCCATTTATCAATTAAAGTAGTATYATACCCTTATTTTGATGTGCATAKTGTTTATTAATAACAAAATAATATACTTGTATATCATGGTCAGTATTTATATTCCATGTTCGCCGCAGTCGACTTCGCGACACCTCTTTTCGTGATTAATCAATGTTGCAGAATGCAGTATGCAATATTGAAATTCTACCATTTAATATCGATTATTTATCGTCATTTTATACGTGCTAAACAACAAAATCTACTGCAGCGACCCCTGAGTTCGATACACTGTTTTCAACGATTTTCAATCGGTTGTTTTTAAACATTCGTTTGTATACATTTACGTTCCTATATTATTTTTATTGTTATATTTATTTCATTGTAATATTTATTTTGTAATAGTAATTTATTTGTGAAGCTTGGGTGCGTAATAAATTAAATTTAAGGCTAGTCGTCTGAMGGATCATTGAATTCGCGATTACGATTTTTGATTTGAAAAAGATTCTTAGTCTGTGCGATGTGAATTTATTTGTGAGGCTGAAGAAAAAAAATGTAAGAACATCAGCTTGATGTAATAATATTAATGGTCTTCTACCCAAATACTACTCTTAAATCCTCCTGTCACTCTTCTATATGTATTAATCGTTATTAATAATTTTTACTGTGTCATATTTTATCGATATTGTACTAATTGATTTTATGTTTTTAGTTCGTCAAGGAAAAAATCTCATTCCAATGGATCCTAATGGGTCATCAGACCCTTATGTAAAGTTGAAGCTTATACCAGATACAGACAACATAAAGAAGAAAACCAAGACAATCAAATCGTCGTTAAATCCYGTATGGAATGAAACAATTACGTTGTGAGTACAATGTTACTTTTGATTAACGCCAAGCTATTTTGATTTGTGATGATGGCTTTTTAAACAATATTATATTAGGAGTTATATATGGAGGTACCATATACCTGTATATAACTCGTCGACCCTATGATTTCGTGGATAAAATAAATAAAAAGTGCAATAACAATTTATTTTCCTAGTTAATCTGCCCTGCTTCAAAATTCCAATAACACTTCCATCCACCATATATGAGATTAGGATAAAAGATACCTGCTGCGATGTTGATTGATTAAGAATGTCACATGGGTTTTGTACTCGGAGTGTGGTGGAGTATTATTAATTTGTTTGATGTCCACGGGTTCCGTTTTAGATCTATCTTTCTATCTTACTCCATACCTCCACCACCCCAACCACTCCAAAAAAAGCCGAGGCAACCTAAATATTTTCATTTCATTTGTTCTTGTGGAATTCTATTAGCGTTTATATTGTTTGTTAAATGAAATGAATGAAACTTGCGGAAACAAATAGATTTGATATCATGGGTTAAAATACAATAGTATAGGTATAGAGTATACTCGTGTTGAGACTTGTCCCTGGGGATTCCGATTTGTAAATATACGAGTATATTATTATAATCCTATCAAAATAACAAACAATAAAGGACTACGTATAAAGTTGAAGTGTACAAACTTTGTAATGAAAATTAATTTCCGTGCGTGTATGTAAATATTTTAAAGTTTTTGATTATAACGAGGTGGGATAGATGGTTAAAATACTAAGAAAATATAGGCCAAATGTGTTTAAAAACTGACGTGTTCTTTTAAGTTATTAATGTCGTAAATTATTATATTAATTATTTACTGGAATAATAATTTTATAAATAAATTAACTACATTCAAGTTTTTGAGACACCCTTTATATTAATATGAATACTAAGATGCTTTAAACGATACAAATACGAGTACCTATATGTTTTTAYAAAAAATTTGATCTTTCTGTTTTATATATTATTTTGAATATTGTATCTTAAAAAATTATTTAAATTAACTTAATTTAATTTGTATTTTATATGTAAACAATATATATGGATGTATGCATATCCCTTGGATACATTTATAAAAAATTGACATAAGTAATTTTTTATTTACATGATTATCTTCTATGTATTTATTACGATTAGTTGCAATATTAATTATTATGCATTAATCAAACYAGCTTTAAATATTTAGAGAATTAATTCTTGAGAAGTATTTAAAATGTTTTGGTTATATCAATACAAATAAATAAATAATAATATGCAGAGACTCGTCGAATTTTGTCCTCGCATATAACCGCCTACTTATATAAATAAAAAYCAACCTCCTACTTCAACTTAAAAATTTACATAATTATTTGAATATTTAATGAAAATCAGTAATTTAACTTTTAAAATACATGTTAACATATATTAACTTCATAATCGGCAATCTAAGGCTTCTAAGAAACATAAAAACAACATTTTTAATTTTTWWAAATAAAGCTGATAAAAAAAAAATCTACAAGTACAATAATTTGTAAACCGAATAGCATCTAATTTTCGTATAAATATTACATCTTTCACTTTGAATTTCTATCCTTAACTCAATTGACTACAATGATACAATTTTTAAATTGGTAATTTTTTTGGAAAACAAAATGGTTACATCTTATTTGAAAATAGTTACTTATTATAATAGTTTATTAATTTTTTTTTTTTCATAAGTTTAATTAGTTAGTTATCCCCGAGTTTAATATAAATGTTAAATAAGGTACGAAACAAAAAGTTAATATATAAATAAGTAATAAATTATGTTTTAACGGTAAATGTTTAACAATATTGAAAACCTTTTCCCGAGATTTTTCATGGAAATGATTCAATTTTTTATATATGATTAGCTAATTAGTGATTTGATTTATTTTGTTAACTTTGTTATATTTTAAATAAAAATAGTTAGTTTAATAAGTTGATTGAAGGTTAAGTTTTTTTGCCACGTTTTTAATTTATATTTTATTAAAAACGAATTTCCTTGAATTTTGTGATTTTATCGCGTTTTTACCATTTTCATTCCGTGGGTTTTAATATATAATGTTCACTATATTACWGAGTAGATGMTCATTAATTGAAACAAAGAGATGTATTTCTAGAAACAAGTGTGMGCTCACACTGCTCACAGTTGTTAAAACCAATTATTCATTGCTCTGGGGATCTCAAACTGTATTAAATTTAATACAGATTATACCGTTGGAAACAATCATTTTCTTCATACTTAAAATTGTAAAAAAAAATTCACGAAGTTTATAATATTTACTTCTATTATATATATTTGAATATCTTCAGACTTACCTTATTGATATTTTTGACAAGTTTTGGGTGACAAACTAAATTATTTTAAAATTTTTTTTATACTAATATAATTTTTAATGTTCCAAAGTTTATCAGATAAAAATTCTAAAATTTGTACAAAATATAAATATTTATATTTATGAATTATAAATTATATAATTAAGGCATTATGTAGTGTTTTCACCATCAAATTCAACTAAACACAGTGCCTTATACTAAATTTGTAAATAGGTGGTTTTTTTTAAAACTTTGTTTAACAATTAGTTTTAACATTTTAGTGAAATAGGTGGAAATAGGATTTACCACAYCAAATACGATGAATACAACAAATCACCCAAGTTTCCTATGTAAGCAGACTTTTTACTAGTGAAGACCATCAAACATCGCTTTCCTTTTTTAGATTTGTCTTTCTAATTGTATAATCTAACTATGTTACAAGCAAAATTAGTTGCTAAATAAATTACTAGCTGCAGCGGCAACTGATTTTTTTTATTTCAGTATAATTGTAATATATAGATAATTATAATATTGCCATAAAAATCAAGTAAATTTGTATTTTTACTTGAATTCCAATTTAAAAAACGCCGTTGAGGGATGGTCGCCTTTATACTATTGTATTTATGAAATACAGCAGTGTTATTTTTTGTCTGATATACACCATCTTCAAAACTCCCACCAATTTTGTTACGAAACCTAAGCTATTATCCAACCATTGGTGGGTGAACTATTCAAAAGACCACTCCCACTGTCTTGCAGCTGTCACACGTGCACTGCGTGAAATAAGTATGTTATATTATTATGATTATTATTTACTTTTTTCTGTTTTTTTAATATCAGAATAATACATTGTATCCTCGCAACGATGTACTGCTATGGGTTGACAAACCTTTTGAAATACCTTAATTATGTTCACGTGTCAATCATATCGGACGCCAATCGTACCTGTATGCTGTTATTACGTAAATTCAGGATATAGGTAACCACAATGCTAATACGGTAGTAGAATAACGTTGTCTCTCTCGTTGCACTATAACTAGAAACGTCCAGACAATTTGCATACAACCGTCCTACAAATTACAGCGCTACACCACGCACGTACCCAGCYACTCACTTACTACGCATACGTCAAGGCACTCTTTATCACGCTAACAAATGTGCCGTACGCGGGACATCCGTCAATTCATTGTTAACGCAAAATCAAAGTACCCAACTCCAGGAACTTGAAATATCGAATCCGCTTAATCCGAACGACTGATGATGACACTGCGGTGGTTCTTTCCATTGTCGTCGGTGTTCGGCGCGTAATAAATATAATGTATTAGGTACAATAGGTATTACTGCAGCATATAATTCGCTCATCCGTTCCGAAGTATTGATGGTGTCCTTAAAACACCCTCGGTCGGTCATAAATACTCGGATCATTATTATTATTATTATTAAGTATTATTTTTTTTCACTTCGCGTAGGTATACATAAATTTGCACGAGTACCCATTATTTTTTTATTTTGCTATTGAATGCTCCGAGTAGAAAAAACATGAATACTTCTGTAAATTATATGTTAGTGCATAAAAATAATGGAATTATTACAAACTATATGTTTTGTTTTAACTATTCCATAGGCCAAATCAAGTTTGCTCGTGTATAAATCTATAAACATGTATGTTTACTGTATTAGATTATTTTGTAAAATTATTTTTTCGGATAAATTATATTTGTTTAATATCTTTCATAATGTTTAAAATTAATAACCCTTTKCTTAAAATGCAAACTAAAGACGCGCAAAACAGTTTATAGATTTTAAGAGGAGCGATGATTGTATTAACTTTACAATAATGCTGTGTTTTTTTTATCTGACGTCATCTTTAGAATCAGTAAAAACAGCTTCAGTTTTAAACTTTGAAGGTGGTTTCTGGTTGCAAATTAGATCATTTTAGTTCATCAGGAGACTAACCTAACCTAACCTACATAATAACAGGAATATCTACGCGATTCCGTTTTCAATAATTTTTTTTTTTTTGTGATTGAAAAAAATATGAATAACTTAATAGGCCTAAGTGTATCACGGTGATTGTTCACATTCATTAATGTGTGCTGCGCTGAAGCATCATCTCTAGCTCCCGGATAGGTGACCACCTGGGGTTTTAGTGACGAATCTTCGCGCTACATACACATATTCTTCAACTAACTGTTACCCTTTTACAAAATACTAATCGGCAATAGCCAAAGTTACCGATTCTGAAGATCCTTTGATGAGGATAGATAGTAAAATACACTATTTTTTAATCAATTAGCATTAACTAAACATGATAAAATTTTCAAAATATTGAAAATAATTAAAAAATTGTATATAAACGTTTAAAAATTCTTGTCGGAATCATAAACCCTTATTACAAAAATATAATGTTCTTACGTGGTTTTTATAAAGCAATTAAATAATTTTAAAAATACAAACTTGAATTATTTTTTCATAAACATTAATATGTAACAATTTAGTAATTTTTTGTACTTCTAAAAATTAATTAATTTTACGGCCTTGAAACTTTTTGCAATAGGCATATTATTAACTTCTACGGGTACTATAATTTAAAAAATAGAAAAATTTTAAGCTATTAACTACAAGTACTATTAATATTTTTACAAAATTATATGTTCGTTGATATTGACTTATAATAAATAATAATGATACACAGTACCCATTGTTTTGGATGTTTAATCTAACTTTTAGATTTTATTCATCACTTAATTTTTAATATGAATAAATTATAAAATAACATTGGAAATAGGCTTAACACATGTTCCTCCTCAAAATCGTTTTTCATATCTGCATACATTTATCATTGAATTCAAATTTACTCTATTATAATGAATATACTCAACTATAAGATTGAAATTAAATAATAATACTTTTTTAGATATTTGACTTATTTTATGTTAAGCTACTAATTGTTTTCTATTTATGAAAATTATTTCATTGATAACGTATTAATGAAARAATGTGTTTCCACTGGAATAGTTTTAATGTGATTTATAATGTAACGATGAATCGTTTATTGGTGTTTTAGTTTTTGAATTATTTATTTCATCAAACGTTGAACTTTAAAATTGTTTTTAAAGTTGAGAAATAAACGTTTATAATATGGGAGACAATAAAGAATTGAGGAGATATGAGTGTTTAAGGAAGTCTAAAAAGATTGCGGAGAGAATCAATTTATAAACTATAACTATCTTTACTTAACATCAAAGTTGACATGCGAAACTTATAGATCTTTGAATTCAATCACAAAACTTACCTTCTATTGTTCCGGGGAAAACGTCACAAGATAGATAAAACTATGGTATTGATTTGTGCAGTGAGCTGAAGCCTGAAGATAAAGATCGCAGACTATTGATTGAGGTTTGGGATTGGGACAGGACGTCCAGAAACGATTTCATGGGATCTTTGTCATTTGGAATTTCGGAACTAATCAAAATGCCGGTAGAAGGTTGGTTCAAGTTATTGACTCAAGAAGAAGGAGAATTCTATAATGTGCCCGTGCCTGAAGAAGGTGCTGATTTAGCTGCACTAAAATATCAAATGCGGGTAAGGAAAATAATTTTTAGCAATACGAAGTACCTATGTTTATTTATCCTTCATCTTTTAATTCTATCTGCGCGTGTACGTTTGTGTGTTGYGTTTGTGGTTCAATTTTCAGAACATTCATGCAAAATATKATTATAGTATATGAAATTGGTTCTTCTTGGTAAAAATGCTATACTAAATTTGTAACTAAAAACTTTCAACTTCGTGCAGCATGATGAAACTTTTGTACTTCTATTTTATTCTCCTATCTTCCTTTTTTTTATGCTACCTTCCGAAAAATATCTTTTTGTGTTTTTGTCAAATAACTAATGTTATTCACGTTTATGTAAGCATTGCACATTAATTAATTTATATTTATATCTCTCTTAACACAGGGCTCAAAAACGCAAAGTCGAAATTTGGTTCGTTTCAAATTCAATAAAATACTATGTAGTTTTATTTGTATATTAGCGTACAGCATGTATATAKTATAGAGAATATTTATACTACGTAAAATGTATTTTAATTAAAATCCTATCTTAATCAAACATATACTTAATCAAACTTTATCTGTACACTGCAGATAGCATGTGTACAAAGTACAAATTTCTGTTAGAATATAACTATAAATAAGCATTTCTTCTGTTGAGTTTCTATTAGAAGGAAAAAAAATATAACTTTTTATAAATTCAATAATAATTCTGATTCATATCTAAGAATRTTTTTAAAATAAGTTGATTAATAATTGACTCAAGTACTTAATACTAATTACCCGTATAAAAATCTGATAAGTGTTATGAATTTATGTTTTCATAGTTCCGCATCTTGTAATAAAGTTTAGAAAAATAATTAAAAAACAACTTTCTAAATGGTAGGTTCATCTAACTCAAATTTTAGTGTTATTCAGATATTTTAATTTATTTTAGAAAATCATTTCCTAGTTTATTGTATAACGTTTTCAACCATAACATTACRAGAAATATTATTATTTATAGTACTATACAGGAAATACTTTGTTATTTTCATAGTGTTCAATAGCAGTGGTATCAATAAAATTACTGTTTTTTGTAATATATTTTGTATTTTATTAGTATCTATTGTTTTCGCATAACAAACAATTGAAAAAACAAATTAATAAAAAAAAGAGTAGGTACATGTATGGTTTTATCTAGTACGTAAATATTTTTAGTAAAACGTAACAACAATCACTCATTCTAAATGTWTGATATTAAATTTAATGGAATGTACTTATATAAATCAAATGCTGATAAATTAATTATTTACTTTTCAACTCATTTTCAATCATAATATAATCCTATTTTAAAAACAGTTCCAGTAACTTTAACATATGTAGTTGTTAGTGTTCTATACATTTCTTAAAATATGAAATATACGAAAGGTTAGCTATATTATATTGTAAAAAAAAAAATCTATGGCATTAATCTTTCAATGCATTACTATTCATTTTCTGAAAAACTATACGAATACGCTGAAAAACTTACTTAAAAAGTAAATCAGTATTTTGTAAACATTTTACAAAGGTTAGGTTAGTTATTCAACTTTATGTTTTTAATCGTTGAAAAGTACATAATATATGCGTTTTGTTTGTGTAAAATAAATTAGTATGCCTTGAATATTAAATATTGCCGTTAGTTACTGCGCTCTATAATAAGTATTATATTTAAATTATGATTCATACATAATAAACATGTTCCATTATTTATAATTAAAAACTAAAAATTTAGGTAGATGATAATATTATTTTGTTAACTTCTAGTCTTTAAACAAACATTTATGTTAGTTATTTTATTATTATTATTATTATTATTATTATTATTATTATTTACTAACCAGAGAAAACAAAAGAAGGCCAACTAACAATACGTTAAATTTGTTTTTGGTAATAGTTTTAAACCTTCATTGAAATGAAAGAAGTAAATTACTAAGAAAACTGTGTAATAAATTATTCATCAACTCACTTTACCGTCAATCAAAACTCCTTGTGTTTTTTTTTCATTAAATTTTCAATGTGGTTTTAGTTTTACAAACATTTTTAATCGAAAAGTTGTTTTAAACGTGAATATTTCAGTGAACATAATTATAAGGACATGAAAGACACAAGTTCAAATATATATATTTGTATTATTTGTTTATTTGTTTTTTATTTTCATTTTATACAATATGAGCAAATTAATATTTTTTTTTGTTGATAAATTGATTTATCAAACTATTTTATATAGGTAAATAGGTACAATTGAATGCATTGATGATAAAAATAAAATTAACAAACATGTTACTCTTAATTTACCAAAAGCTTTCAGCAAATTTGCAAACCATATTTTAATACAATTTTCTATATGAACTATAGTTATTTTAAATGTGTAAGGTACTATAACTATAACTAGCTATTATAATATTATTATAAAGAAATATTTTGATTGGTAAAATTACTATTTTAATGAAAATTGTTTTATGTTTTGTATGCAAATTCTGCTTAGAAATGTATCTATTATTACCTAGAATATAATAGTCTATCCAATATTTTTTTTTTAAATACCAGACAGCTATAGAATGTTATTAATTTATTTTATTATAAATGCTATTGATTCAGATCACTTATTCCATAACACGTTTAAAGGGGGTTTGAATGACAAGATAATACATAGTAACAAATAATATATTAATTGTGATATATTGTAATATTCATAGTAATTTATTTATATGTTTTTATTTAAATTAGGGGAGCAAGTTCAGAAGTTTTTTTAAATATACTTAAAAACAAGTCAAAAGTTTGAAATGGATATATTTCTTGTTTAGATTGAATAGATTTTACACTTWATTATTTTTTTAATAGGTGATTGAAATGGATATATTTCTTGTTTAGATTGAATAGATTTTACACTTTATTATTTTTTTAATAGGTGATTGAATACCAATTCAGTTTAAATGTAAATGAAAATGTAAAATACTTCATCAGTATTATTTTTAAATTTAAAAGTACATAGTACCATAGTATTAATTCTATTATTCTTTGAACGCCTTAACTCTTGAAATTTTAATATCGAGAATAAAATATGTTATAATCAAGTTTTAAACCTCGTTATCTAAACACATATATTCTCAATCWATAAATGTATCAAAAAATTGTTATAACTTAATATTGCAAATATAGCAATTATATTTTTAAATTATTTAAGAAGTTTAATGTTACATAATATCAAATAATAACATAAAGTGCCCATTATACCTTAATAATCTTAAAAAGTCTTTAGTACTTCGTTTTAAATCAATTTGGAATAGTTATATTTCTTTAATGAAAATTTCCAAATTACACTTATTCAGAATTTTAATTGAATGTCCAATACTTTTGTATTATAAAATATACTTAAAAAAATTATAAAAAAATCATAGAGCTTATAAATTGCTTGTGTTTTTCTTGTGGCCTAATTTAAGTAATGTTGTTGCATGTAAGTGTTGTGTTTTCAGTAAGAGCTTTAAATACATATACTCTGCTAGTAAAGTTTAAAAATATTTATATTTATGTATATTTTTTTATATAATATATTATACTCATTAATTTAGAAGACATCATTAACCAGCAGAAAACCAATGGTGCCTGACAAGGATGTACCTCATAATATGGGGAAAAAAGATGTAATTAGGGCATCAGATTTCAACTTTTTACAAGTACTTGGAAAAGGCAGTTTTGGAAAAGTAAAGATAGCAACTTGATCGTTATTGTTTATTTTTATCGTCTGTTAATTATTTTGTTTTAACTTRAAGGTAATGTTAGCTGAGCGTAAGGGAACCGATGAATTGTATGCGATAAAAATTTTGAAAAAAGATATAATTATTCAAGATGATGATGTTGAATGCACCATGGTGGAAAAACGTGTATTAGCGTTGTCTAGTAAACCACCGTTTCTTGTACAATTACATTCCTGTTTTCAGACTATGGTAAGTATTCACAAATGGTTATATAATTGTTTAATATTATGACATAATTGCAAATAGACACACTCAACAATTTGAATTGTAATAATAATTAAATAATTAATAAAGTATTAGTTGATTTTACATTGAAAATTCAATTCTATGATAAAACTTTAATTTCAATTTTTTGAAGTTCAACTTTGTGTAATTTGTAAAAAATATTGTTTTAAGGTAGGTCCTGTTTATTTTTTTATATATGAAAATATCTTTTATGTCTCTTTGAAACGACGTGATACTAATTTTTTATCTCTGTCTTAAATACCTAACATGAACAATTTATGTTCGACATGATTGATATCGTTTTAATAAAAAAGTAAATTGACCTATAAACAAACTTAATGAAAGTAACATATTAATCATCATTTATCGAGACTAATCGAGACTTCAGTTGATCCAACATTATTGAAAAAAAAAACTTAATATTATCTGTGTTTTCCTGTCATTTTTATTTTAATTGTTTATTTTAATTAAATATTATAAAAAAGTAAAACGATTTTAAAATAGTTATATCCAATGATATCAATAAAACTTACGAGTGATTACGTATTATGTTTTTTTTTTAATTATTTATTAAACTAATTTTGTGGTTTTTGATTTGGTAAAAATACCCTGGTCAGTATTTGGTAGGTACTATGTAATAATAAAAATAATAAAACGAAATCAATTATGTAAAATATAAATTTAGTGTTATACATTTTTTGTAATTCGGAGACAACAAATACGTTCTATAAAATATTATAGCTGGTAAAAAGTTGATTGTAATACCTAATCATAACACGTAATCCGGAAATTTCATAAATTAATGTCACTTTAAAATTGTTTTTTGATGGATACACCAACATTAAGTATTGTTCTTATGTTATTATGTATTTTTATATTTTCAATTATAAGAGATTCATGCTTATATTTATTAAAACAGATACTTATTAAATACCTAATATGTTAATTTTTTACTTTGTGTGCGTAAATTGTTTGTTTCCAAAGAAAACTCGAAATAGAGTTGTAACATACTGACATTTTGATAGACTTCTTTCTCATTATAGAAATGCCAAAAATTTGTATGCGTTTTGCAKAAAAGGTATCTTATGTTTAGAAAATAAATTAAATTATAACGAATGAAAAATAAATAAATATTAACTTCATTTTCATTGCATATAAAATACAATGGAATTTACAATTATTTATAATAAATCACATGTTTAATACTTTTTGCTGTTATAAAATGTTTAAATTTCAACACAAACTTTGAGCACAAAGCATTAAATATAACTACACTTCCACTATGAATAATTCTAAGACTTGAGAAGGTTCGTTTTATATTTTTCCATGATCAACAATACATTTTTTACGTCTTGAAAAAATACTACTACCTATATGCTTTAAAGTATACACAGAAAAACTCATCATTGTGACCCAAGTAATTTTTTTCATTTCCGTGGAAATAATCTCACTCAGATTTTTACCGTATATATAAAATTTAATATTGTAGCGATGTTTTATGACGTCCAGTAAAATTACGATCGCGGGATGATGTTAATATTTAAAAATATATAAATACGTAAAATATACAGTTATTTTAACTTGAGGTTTGTAAAAAGTATTTTTTAGAATTGAGCTAACAATTTCAAACATTTATTTTTATTTATTTCCCTTGTTTTAACAACTTAATAATGTCATTATATTATACAAATGTAGTAATTTTTTTAATTTTTATAAATATATATCTTTTCTACTGGCTCAAATGCTTAATTTTACTGAGTAAATATCCTTTAATTTAATATTAGTTTGTTTCGTTTCTGAGGATTGGCTTTTGTTTAAAAATGCATTTCGTATTTTTTATAATTTTAATTTATAGCAGTTATCAATATTATTTTAAAGTATACTTTTTATCGTAACATATTTATTTTTCATTCTCAATATTTTGCTGTTTATTTTTATTACTTGAATTTTATCACAGAAACTAATAAGATAACGTTTTATGTTATTTTTTTACCATGAATTTTAGTTTTTATATGTATTTTATTGCATTTATATTATATTAGATAAGTAGTTCAATACATCAGTATCCACTCTGTTTCAGCTAAGTTAATGTTTATAATCATAAATGCATTCAAATTTAAGACAAYGCTAATCACATTGATTATAGAGTTATTCTAAACGCACAATAGTTTTTATTTTTACATCAGAACATTCGAACTATATATTTAAATTATAATATTTATTACGTGGATATATTATTTATTTTTAATGCACGACGTTTAATTCCTTACTTGCATGTTAGATTTCCGTTACACTGTAACAATTGATTAATACAATAATATATTAAGCATATATAAAACAATGATACAATTTTTATAACAAGTAAAAATAGAAATGTTTTTTTCGACAATAAATAAAAYATGACTGTTTAAAAACAATCTTGCCTTTATTTTACACGAGTTGTTTTGTACTTATAATAATAAATTAATAACTATCAATTTGTGTCTGCAGGCACACACACACAGACTCATATATATATATATATATATATTGAAATAATTAAATTTATGCCTTTATTATTTATATCAACAATCCTAGTTAGATTTATTTTGTGCATGAAAAAATATTTTTTTCTAGGATCGTCTATATTTCGTGATGGAGTATATAAATGGCGGTGATTTAATGTTTCAAATCCAACAATGTGGAAAATTTAAAGAGCCTGTCGCCGTGTATGTATATTTTCTCGTGAAGTTTATTCGTATCATATTTGCTCATAAATATATTTTTTCCAGATTTTATTCCGCAGAAATAGCGATCGGGCTTTTTTATTTACATCTCAATGGCATCATATACCGAGACTTAAAATTGGACAACGTACTATTGGATCAGGACGGTCACATAAAAATCGCTGATTTCGGTATGTGCAAAGAAGGCATTATGGGCGATAAGACTACAAAGACATTTTGCGGAACACCGGATTATATTGCCCCAGAGGTAAAATATTTATGTTCATGAACGATAATGCGCTTGATTACCTTATTATTTTGGCATCAGATTTTCTTATTGCAAATRTACAGAGTCAAGGCTTTATGTCTATATTCTTTTATATACCCTGAAAGAAGATTTTATTGTCTTTATACTTTATCCAACTCGTGTAACCTAACATGTTACATTTAGTCTAGTTAGTTACTGCTGAAGTATTTCCAATATAGTGTCAGGTTTACATTAACATTAGTCTCTGGGGAATTTTGTATCATCTACGAAATAAAACATTACTGGAATACTTGCTTAAACATTTTGATGAGTGTATTATATTCGAAAACAGTTATTAATGATAAATATATAAATCCCTTAATTTATCTAACTATTTTACAGTGTAAAATCTAAATCAGTGAAATAAACATGAATTTATATTATTTTCTTAGAATTTTAAATTAAGTTTGTAATAAAATACATTATTTTAGTTTTTTTTTTTAGATAAATAGTTAAATAAACAAATAAATTACAAAATTGTAGRTGCATTAAAGTGGCATTTTTGTGTTAAAAATGCATTTGCCAACTTTCATAATACCTACACATATTTTTTCAAATTATTCGACAATATTTGCATGATGTTTTTAGTAATTGTTTATCTATTATGTCATAGAAAACGATATTTTTTAGTTAGAGTTTTTTTCTAAGTTGTTTAAGTTTTATACGTTGGCACCATCATTACAGATTAGTTATTCATTTTTCACTGAATATAAAAAAAAAATTCTTTATATTATCCGCCATTACAATAGTACTAACCTATATAAAACGTGATACCACCCTATGTATTATAGACTATTGCAGTAGATCTTTGGCTATTGAGAGCAAAGTGATATTAATGATACACTGTCCTGTGTTTATAATCAAAATTAATATTCCATTATTTTCTTTAACAGGATATGGGATAATAGTATTATTTTAAGTCTCAGCTTCGTATAAATTTAATTTTATCTCAACGTTCAATAGTATTTAAAATGTTGAAGTTCATTAACTGTATTCATCCACACAAAACTAACAATCTTGAAAGTACCCTAATTATTATATCGTTCTACTTTGAATAACATTTTTAAATTTGAAAAAGAACAAAAAATATCGTTAATTATGTTTGTACACCATAAGACGTTTAAAAAAACATAGTATTGTTTTCTAAACAAGCTCTCGTTATTAAGATGATTTTTTTCGGTGTATATTTTCTGAATTTTTAAATGAAAATCAATTGCATCACTGTACTATAGAGAGAAAAAAACATTAAATTGGTTCTATTCAATTCTATAGATAATTGTAACCGTACGCTTGTTTACCAGTATAAGTATTTAAGACATTTTTAGCGCAAAATTTGAGTTGTGATACAAAGTGAGATTTTCTGACAAAAATATTCGGTTCAGTCGGCGTGTGATCTACCCGAATCACATAATTTAATTATAATGCGAATGTTAATGAATAGCAAAAAATATTATTAATATTATTGGCACTCGGCAGCCTTTTTTGTGCACCTTAGTGTAATGATTTTTATTTTAAAACTTCCGTTTCTTATTATTTCTCATAATTTTTGTGATAGTTACCCAATTGCATTTTATACCATTTATTTTAATTTTAAAATGTGTTATATTTAGTGTAATATTTTAAGTATTGCTCACAAATGTCCCTATTKTCCTCAACTCACAAATCAAATAATGATTTATAAATTTCCAGTTTTTCCACCTGTATATATGTATATGGTGTATATATATTATATATATACATATATATATATATATATATATGTACACCTATTGAATTACAATTGTATTAGGTAATGGTCCCATATCCTATCACATACATCTATTCTTGACAAATTAAGGTTAAGTGCTGTCTCATATCGGAATTACATTTTTATTTATTTATACAATCCCATTTTATTCGTTAGTCATAATATGATTAAGGATAGTAGCTCTAACATCTATCATATTGTGTTCTTAATATCGGTAGATCACACGATGTTCCGGCACCAAGCAATATTAGTTAGGTTGATTGTTTTTTTAAAGTTACATAGGTTAGGTATAATAACATTTATTTTTATGTACACATCGTTATAAAACATAAAAATATAAACGAGACATTAAAAATATCAAAGTTTATGGTAACGTTTGAGCGTATATTAAATATTATTATTGCAGTTATAAACATTTTGTTTCGATTAAAACATCTCATTGTTTTTATATTATTCGAATACCACCTGTTAATTAGGACCAATATAATTAATCAACAGAATCAGACAACGAGTATCTTTACCTCGCTGTCATATCATTATCTCTTCTATTATCAATACATACAATTGACGGTTTACCATTTAATCCCAATCAACTTCCACTGGTATCACAATCTAATGATTAGATATTATGTTATAATATCTATATTACTCATTCTTAGTATAGTTCATCTAGGGCATCGTTCAACAGTAGACGAATTGGTTATCACAATAGGTAATATTAAATATGTTTCAATTTATTGAATATCAGTTGATATCTCATAAAATATATTTTTTTATTAATAGAATCAAGTCCGCGGCTACTATGGCCATTGGACGAACATTATATTTACAAAATTATACATAGTAATACATTTTTATGTAGAGATACAATATATAAARDAGAGAAAACAATGAAACATTACGTTAACTTATTGTATTARATTTTGTTAAGAAGTCCTGTGATGYGGAGAAATTCCAGGGTAGTTGTGAGATTGCTCTGCTCGGGGCTGAGTAATTCAGAGAGCTGATCCGGAAGGTTAAAATATATTTTAATAACGTACTCACAGCGTTGTTTAATTTCGTTTACATTAATACCTACTCCAAAAATCATATTATCGCATGTCTAAAGTATACTTCAAATTTCAAAACAAACACTTTTCATCGATTTCCAGATAATTTTATATCAACCATATGGCAAGTCTGTTGATTGGTGGGCTTACGGTGTTCTCTTGTATGAAATGTTAGTCGGACAGCCACCATTTGACGGAGAAGACGAAGAAGAACTGTTTGCGGCCATCACTGATCACAGCGTCAGCTACCCCAAAGGAATGTCAAAAGAAGCCAAAGAAATATGCAAAGGGGTATCGTTATTTTAATATCACCTTTGTTATATATTAAATATCTAATAATAGAAACATTTTTTGTTTTTGTTTTAAAATATTGATATTTTTTTAAAACTTTAGTTTTTGACTAAAAATCCAATGAAAAGATTGGGAGGAGGTCCCAGGGGTGAGGAAGACATTCGGGGACATGTATTTTTCAGACGTATCGATTGGGCAAAAATTGAAAACCGCGAAGTGCAACCGCCGTTTAAACCAAAAATCGTGAGTATCACTCACGCATGGCATTAAGAATYCGTAAAAAAATAATATAATATTTATGTTATAGAAACACCGTAAGGACGTGAGCAATTTCGATAAGCAATTCACTGGTGAAAAAACAGATCTTACCCCCACTGATAAACTGTTCATGATGAATCTAGACCAAACAGAGTTCATGGGTTTCTCATTTCTCAACCCAGAATTCATTCAGCATGTATAATTTATTTATCTCCTTTATAAGTATCCTTTTTTTCAATTTTATTACAGGGTTTTCCTTTACACTCCTTCGCTGTTATCCTCTCCCGTCTTTGTCTACCGATTCCGAATTCACTATAGTCAATTGGACATTACACAATACCCATCGAATTTCTTTCAGTGTTTTTAACTGATATACTTTTTGACCATTATCCCTGATCACGTTATCAAAACAAAAAAAACAAAAAACATACTTTTTCTGTTTCGCTATTCAGTATTATACTAGTAGTATTATTAATACTATTTCTATTGTGCCGGTCCTTATTATCATGATTAAACTAATTTACATAAGTAGTACATGACATTTCTGCGGAACGTACTCCGAATGTCTAACCTTAGTCGTCATACCATAAACAGTATTTTCTAATGTAAGTTTAGAGTATTATCATATATTTCGTAGTAGTGATGAGGAATAATGAGTCGGCAAACGTCCGTATTTCARAACATGAGTGCTGTACGCATTTTAATTTTACGTGGCACCTTAAGGACGTTAAACAACATCGTTCTATGAAATAGGATACAATTGGGACCATTACRCCTATTGATATGATGTGTGGCTTTAATTGTTTTACATAGTTTTAATCCAAAGTGAAGTAGTTAATAGAAATACATTTGAAATTCTGAAAAGAAAATTAAAAAAAAAAAAATGAATATATAAGTTCTATCTGTGATCTAAACAAGTGCAATAGACACAAGATGTCATTAAATTTAAATAATATTTCTCATTTTTATTAGGTACATAATATTCAATGTTTGAATATCCTAAACAAACATAGTTACCTCGTTTCCGTTTATTCCCTTTATGATAAATACGAACAAACGTGTTTTTATGTAGAAACGATAGGTTGTATCTACATATTTTTCTCGTTTAAAAATAATTTTATTGTCAAACATTTATTCATATATATATATATATATATAAATATTATATATATTATATGTGTATATGTATAATTATTATTATTGCTTAAATGTTTACGTTATTATTTAAATTATTATAAAATAACGTATATTAATAAATTATTAGTCACTCTCGGTTTAATCATTTCGGGAATATAATTTTTAAAAYGTAATTAATGTGTATTATTCATAAAAAAGACATTACTTTATATCGGCCGTTTGAAATAAAAGTATATTAAATGGATATTTTTTTAATGTTTAAGGTTAATGGTTGATAATTCACAAACAAATACCGTGGTAACAGTAAATAAGGTACTTAAACAATTTTTCTTTTTTTAGAAAATCCAACGTACTTTTATATCAAACGATCTATATTGCTCGTCTTACTATATGTATTTACATATTTTAAATCGAGTAATATAATATAATATTTAAGTAATTTTGGGATTAACAACATTTTAAGTGATATTATACTAAACTATAATATAGTAAATCAAATTGGTAGTAACTATGTATCATTTACTTCTAGCTAATTTTTAACTTGCTCACAATTTAAGTCTATTTGTGTAACTTAAGTTTAAAGTAGGATCTGGTTAAACTTCTAAAAGAAAATATTTAACGATCAAAATTGTATTTACTATAAATGTTTAGTGTATTTTGTGTTGTCTAGTTTGTACATAAGTGTTGTACCTTGTATGCCTAATAATTATTCTTTTATCATTATATTATTATTATTAATGTAATCACATTTTATTGTTAAAAAGTCTTTTAATGTACTACAATTTTGTTAAAAAAATAATTAATTATGTATCTAATATGGGCTTGGGGGAATTTTATTCGTATTTATTGTTGATAATTTTTAATGTTATATTATTGTAACTTACAATTTGTGCACTTTTTTACTTTATTGTTTTATGATTTTCGGTCATATTATTTTCCCTTTCTCATATTTATTTATGAATATTAAAAATGGTTCGCCATTCAATCGTTATTATTTTTATTGTAGTCAATTTATGTATAAATAATTTGTTGCTATTTTATAGATTTCTATACCATTATTTGATAGTTTGATGAAAAATTGCTAAATACTCGTATATTTGTTTAATCTTAAAACTTCCAACTATAAGTTCTATGTTTGATTTGACCAATCGATATTTATTTTTTATTTTTTTATTTCTTATTATTACACTTTATCATATTTTAAATAATTGTAGACACAAGTTAGTCGATAGGCTAAAATCGTGTTGAATACACTATTAAATTAAATTAATACACCATTCAAAAATAATAAATATATTAATTGTTTACAATACTGACAATCAAATATCACTTAGTAATTTCTATCACAATATTTTATCTTCTTCTCCTTTAATACATTTTTATTTATGTGCCAAAATTTTTCTCAGTGTTGTTGAAATTTTTATACACCTATATAGATTTTAACAATCGTTTAGCATTTTATTCATTTAAAAATACATTATAATAATATAACTAATAGTTTTAATATGTAACACATTGTATTTTATTTGTTTATTTTCCAATTAAAGATCATTATACTCATACATACACGGCTGAGTAGCTTGCATTACTGTGTTAAAAATTAATTTCAAAGTTATCAGTTCCTGTTGATGTTTAGTTCAGCAAGCGTGGGAAGATTGCTGGTCTAAATGTTGATAACAAATTTGGCCTACTTTGTGCAATAGGTATCGTGTAACAATATATTACGTAGGTATCAAAACGTTTTGCTTCAAAGCCGTTTTATTTAAGCTTTATACCGTATCTATGCGTCTTTTATACGTGTCCCAACTCCCCTGACCATTTCCATATAATTACTAGCAATTAATATAATACATTCAGTCACTTGGTACGCAGTACACATTATGACGTGTACCTACGCCGCGCCGCCGCCGCCGCCGTCGATCRACGTGGTTTACGTCCAGTGTTTATGCAAGCTCATTACCGATAAATGATAATCCTCCGCGATGATCAGTCCCTTTGCCAGTTACGTATATTAACGAATAACCCACTTGGCGTATGGGAGAGGAGAAATAGGGGGTGCGATTTTACACTGTCCGGAAAATGTATTGCAAAATTATGCGGGTCGGAAAACTTCAGTTTTTTTATTAAAATTTTTCGTTTTAGCCATTTATTTTGTTCAATATTAATACGGTGGTACCTAAGTGTATTACATTATACTAATAATATCATGGGTTCGGTATTCGTCGAGAACGCTTCGCGCAAAGTGTCTCTGGAATGGTTTTTATTTTCAGTCATTTTAGTCTCACCGGACCTTCGTATCATACACACTCAGTATAAGTAAGTAAATTAACATAATAATAATATATTTTCATGTGCGTGCAGACAACAAACAAACAGCGCGTACTCACGTACTACATAATATACAGAGTGATTCACCAAGCATGATCTCTCCCTTTATCTTCTTTAATAATGTAGTCATTCAAAATATTCAAATTTTTCACAAATCTTAAATTTATTTCAAGATCATATTTTTAAACTATTAAAATTGATGTTCGAGTCTCCCATAAATATAAAATATTCTGTTTTAAATACGAAAACACACCGTTTCTGTCGAACATTTTTTAATTGATAATTTTTCTGAAAAACCAATATTCTTTAACAATAAATTTTAGTTTAACATTTTTCTAATACCATTTTTAAGAACTACTATCTTTTGTACAAATATCTTAATAACTGAAAAATTACTTTGTTAAATTTTGAATTAGGTACCTTCAAAAACATATTTTTAAGTATAATTATAAAAAATTCAAAAATCATATTTAATTAAATTTATTGTTAAATAAAAAAAAAAAAATGGATGTGAGCAAGCTTGTCAAATCACACTGTATAGTACTTTACCTATACGATAACATGCGATGGATAATTTAATGAATAGGTACATAAACCGTTTTAAATTTTCAGCTGCATAGGTATATATATATTTATATTATATATTGTCTGTAACCAACTCACGCGTTATTGTGATATTATAATGTTATCCTCTGCACTGTTATACTTAATYACATAACGGACGTATAAAATAATATGGTCACCGGGAACTTCCTGTACTCGCTCCACAAATACAGGGTGATTCAACGAGCATGCTTATCTTCCCTCTTATTTTTTATTTCGTATAT